CATGCATTTGGTGAGAACTACAGTCCACAAAAGCTTGTGCCATAAAGTTTTTAAGGTGTCACAATACTTATCATTTTGCTGCAAGAGACTGACACAACAACCTATCTAGATAGAATCATTATTGATCTTTAAAATGAGCTATCAATGACCTGACATTTCATGTCTAAATGCAATGAATGTTCACTTCCAAAGTTGCATTTTCCTTAAACGATTTTGTCCCTCAGAGTCCCAGTATGCTATCAGCAGTGTATATGTTTGTTCTAGGGAAAGGTTCGGTTTTAAAAGGTCACTAATGCCCATTTGTGGACCACGTGTTTCTTATGTGCCAAGTTGATTAAACAGTTCAATAATCTGCAAGGCACTAAGTCTTTCCACTATTCATTTAGATAAGCGATGGTTCCAGTTCTTGGCATAAATGGCTTGCAGGCTCCCCTCTGAGAAAAGAGTGAGAGGTCTGACTTGTTAATTTTCTTGTTGTTCCGTGGTGTTCCTCATGCTGACACTGGCCTGAAGACTGACCTGACCAACCCATTTAGCTTGGCAGGTTCATAGAGCAAATGAAGTTTCTAGCCAAGTTCACATTCCAGAGTCAATATTGGTTTGCTGATGGGAACATACAGATGTGAACTAGGCACATGCCAATAACAAGATGAGAAAAGGGCATGTATTCTCCTTTCAATGGCAGAATAATGCAAATAATATTGCTTAGAGCAGGCATGGCCAAACTTGGCCCTCCAGCTGTTTTGGGACTACAAGAAGAAGAAGAAGAAGAGTTTGGATTTGATATCCCGCCTTTCACTCCCCTTCAGGAGTCTCAAAGCGGCTAACATTCTCCTTTTCCTTCCTCCCCCACAACAAACACTCTGTGAGGTGAGTGGGGCTGAGAGACTTCAAAGAAGTGTGACTGGCCCAAGGTCACCCAGCAGCTGCATGTGGAGGAGCGGAGACGCGAACCCAGTTCCCCAGATTACAAGACTATATTCCCATCATGCCTGGCCACTAGTCCTGTTAGCTAGGGATGATGGGAGTTGTAGTCCCAAAACAGCTGGAGGGTCAAGTTTGGCCATGCCTGGCTTAGAGGATCTAACTATCTCTCCCCTTCCCCACCCTTTGTCTAGTTCAAGCCTAACTCACTCTCTCTCTCATTGTAGTGTTCAAAGGGATGAGAGTATTCTAGCCCAACCCCCTGCAATGCAGGAATCTTTTGCCCAGGACCTTGAAATTAAGTCTCCTGCTCTACCAACTGAGCCATGATGCTGGTCACCAGCTCTCATAATCTCTGACCATTAGCCATGCTGGCCGGGGCTGATGGGAGCTGGAACCTAAATGCATCTAAAGGGCCGCAGATCCTCCATCCCTTGCCTGGTTGGTCGAAATGGAGAACAGGACTGTGATTTCTGGGTAATGTTGATAATTCTGGGCTTCCACTTTTCCTGTCTAGTATAGTGCATTCCAGCTCCATCCTTACTCATCTTGGAATTATGTCAAATATTGGTGCATATTGAGGGAAATATTGGCAATATAGGCAAATACTGAGGGAATACCAGTGGGAGGCTGTGTACGCACCATACGTAGTTTACCTCTCACGGAGCTATATTTCCCAACACAAACTAAGTTATTGAGATACTGTAGGGGAAGTAATGTGCTTAATATGTATGGTGTGCATGCAGTCCAAGTCCTTGCTGTGCTTGTCATACTAAATCTGAATTGCCTTGATAGCACAATGACAATCATTCTCTGTAAAAGCAGTCATCTACTGACTATCTGCATAACCATCCTACAATTACAGAACCTTTGCACCACACTTTAAAATGTTTTACCCCAGTGAATCCAAGTGCTTGTGTGTATGTACTATATGTGGCAGGGGTGCCAATCTTTATCGGCCCATGAGCTCATTTGATTTTGGATTGAGTGCCATGGATGCCATCCCTTCTGGTAACCTCTCTCCATTTCCTTTAGTTCAGTACCAACCTCCAGCTCCGTAGAGAGAGATAAAAAGCATGCACACACTTTACTTTTCTAAGGGATCTTAGAATTAATATGAGCCTTGAAAAGCACATAGAACTAAAAGAGGAATTGGGAAAATATTATAATTTCAACTTCCTCCTTCAGCTCAATGTATTTTTCAAGGGAAAAGTATGTAATCACCCACACCACCTCATGAGCAAGGGTGCTCCGAGGCTTTGTGGGAAGACTTCAAGGGTGCTTTCGCAATCACAGGCACCACACTGGCAACCCCTGGTCTGTGAGGCTGTTTAAGCTCCTGTATGCAGGATAGTTTTTATGGATATGTTAACTCCTGAATGGCCAGTTTTGTGGTAAATCAAGTTTCATTTGCCAGGTTTGTACCAATTTTTATCAATGGTTTTGGAGGCATAAGGGAATTGTATTTAGAATGTTCATATACTTAATGCTTTTTATTAGTGTATTTTTTGCTGGAAGATTTGTGTGTTCTAAGCAGGCACACTAAGCTAGCTCTGAATTAACTGAGAGCTGTCCAGCAGAGGTTTTCCTGCAATCAGTACATTTTGATGCCTTACAACCAAGAGGCTACTTGTTTGATCACCAAAAGACTTTTGTGCATTCAAAACATGCACCTAGCAGGCCTAATATACTTTCACAGTTAAAATATACTTGCCTTTATGTACAAAAGCTTGGACAGAAAGAACCATAAAAATGCAGAACATTAATAAATATCGGGCAGATTTCTTTATTCACAATACAGACTACTTTGTTCCTTACACTTTGATTGTACTACGACAACTTAAGGGCCCCTTTATTCTCAAGGATTTATGAACACACTATTAAAGTTTTAAACAAACAGCCTTAAACAAAGGAAAAAATAGAAGGCTATGTTGCTGGGGAATGAAAAAGTGGAAAGGCAACTAGAAGGGGGGAAATCAGATTATGCTGGAAATGATTGTGGGATTTGGGAAAAACAAAGAAGTTTTCAAAAGCTAGTGATTACCGATAAGTGATTTTCAGCTCATTTTGGAATTCTTGTCAGTGGTTCTCCCTAGAATCTAGAGCCAGGATCTTTAGCTGTGGGCTAAAGATTCAGGTATGGGGTTTCCCCCATCAGAGCTTCCGATTACAGGCTCTTTGCTCTTCCTCAAATACGTCAATGGAGTTGAATACTTTAGTCAGCCAGTCTCGCTTGTATATTGATACAAGTTGTAAACCTTATCCTACTGATAAAAGTGTGATAAAAGCAATGCAAGCAACATAAAGATTAAAAGAGGAAGTGCAGGATGCAGTTAAGAGAATGAAACAGAGGGAGGGGAGGCGAAAGAACTGCAGGAGGGGAAGTTATCAGGGGAGGATGGCAAATGATGGGCTAAGCCTTGAAGAGGCTTCTCATGGCAAAGCGGCACTTAGAAAGGAGCTTCTTGCAACTTCTGGGCAAGAGGTGCGATTAGACCCAGGTCACGGGCGAAATCTGCTAAGGTGGGCAGGCTCTCTTTTTTACAAGCAAGGTTGGCAGTCCCAATGAGCCCTGGACTCATCCCTTAGAACCTCTTTTCTTAAAACCAAGGTTGCTCCCTGAACTTTGCGAAACAAACCTTCGGGGCCATTTCCACACCCCAAACCAGCCTCACCCATTAGAAGGGCAAAGGCTTCCTGCGGGCACGACTTTCCAAACAAGCCTGACTCGGATACACCGCCAGGCAGGGACTAAACAGATTTAAACTAACTAACGACAAGCAACAGCAACAACAACAATAATAATCAGGAGGCTTCCTTCCTCTCTCTCCGAATGAGGTTTGTCCTCACACACCCCAATTTCATTTTTTAAAAATAAAAAAAACTGGCCCTGCTCCTTAAAAGCAGCAGCCTGACCGGCGAAGAGACCAAGCGAGAGGAGGAGCTGCTCCCCGCACCGGTTTTAACCTCTCTGCCGGGACAAGTTTTGCTGGTCCTTAAAAGGGGATCGCGCACACTTGAAAAGCCCCGCGATCAACCCGGTCCGAAACCTGTTCTCTCTGAGGAGGCGGCGGCGGCGATCCCGAAAGCTGTTTCTCACTTATTTTACTTACTTATTCGGTCCCAACCCGCCGAGTCTCGACCACCCGCCGCCTCCTTCCTTTCCCCCGTTGCCTTAATTTTTATTTTTTATTTTTATCCCTCTTTCGCTCACAAACATACAATGAATAAATGAATAAATTAAGATTTAAAAAGGCGCCTCGCGCTCCTCGCGCCTCACCTTCTCCGCCTCCTCGCGGCCTCCCGAGGTCGCTTCGCCGCCCAAGCCCAGTAGCAACAGGAGCGGCGGCGGCCTGTTAAACGGTAACCTGAGGTAACTCTCCGCCCTCAGCCGGAGCTCTCCTCCTCCTCCGCCTCCTCCTCCTCCCGGCAGCCCAAAATTAGGCATTACCAAAACACACACACACACACACACTCACATATCAAGGGCGGGCCTTTAGGCTTTCTTCACCCCCATTCCCCGTGGCAGGGGCTGCTGGGACCGGTAGTTCCCGCGTCCGTTCAGGGCACGAGCGAAGGAGCGCGAGGCAACTACAAGTCCCAGCATGCCTCTCGAGGCGACCTCGGTGGCGCTGGGCCTGAGGTAAAAGCCGGGCCTCTCTCTCTCTCTCTCTTCGACTCCCGCCCGAAATGGCTTCCTAAGCTTCTTCTCGGCCGAGGGGCTCCTCTTCCCGTTAGCGGAGGGTCCTGTCCGGGGCTCTTGACGTTATTCGCAGATGAATCTCGCGAAAAGGGAGACCCAGGGGAGAGCCGCCGTTTTGTCCACCCGTGTCGAGGGGTCGCGTGTGACCAGCTGGTTGTACAGGAGTTTCCCTCTCTGAAGAAAAACCTGCGCCCCGTTTTGAAATGGGGGTGAGGCTGGGGATCTTGGCAAACAATTCGTGTCGCTTTCAAACTATTCCTGGTATTATTATATTTTTTTTGGGGGGGGGAGCCACGATAAACTGGTATAAAACTAGTTACAGGTAGGTGGCCGTGTTAGTCTGCCGTAGTCGAAACAAAATTTTAAAAAATTCCTTCCAGTAGCACCTTAGAGACCAACTAAGTTTGTTATTGGTATTGTTATTTCGTGTGCATGCACACAAAAGCTCATACCAATAACAAACTTAGTTGGTCTCTAAGGTGCTACTGGAAGGAATTTTTTATATTGTTTGGTATAAAACTGATATCCTTTCATAGCGCAGGTAGAACCTTCCCATGAAGATACCCCCGTATTTAATATGCATGAGTTAGCTAATTCAGGACTGTTAGACCTGAAATAGTATCTCACCCTGAGCTGCTCCTTCCCTGTAAATATCATTTCGGGGCATAGCATCTCCCAGAACTGTCCAGGATTGCGGTGCAATTATGGCCTAGCGCCACAAACCATCCCACCTGGTAATGATGATGATGTAATACCTTGACCATTGAATCCTAGGCATGTCTATTCTAAAGTAAGTCTTGTTGAGTTTCATGAGATGTATTAAAGAAAATATGTATAGGATTGCAGTCTCCCTATTCTTTTCCTCTTCCCCGCCCCCATCCTTTCCTTTTGTATCATGTATGTTAGATTGCAGATCTGCAGCCAAGGCCTGTGTTCTTTTTAAAAATAGTACCTAGAAATGTTAGGCACTTTCTAAATAATAAAAGCAGCAGTAGTATCTATTGGTTCAAGGCGCAAGGTACTGTTGAAGTGGATGGAACAAAACAAGCTTGAATTAATATTCTTCAGTTTAACTGGGTTGAATATCAGGTTATAAGTTGTTTGTTTTGTTTTAAAAAAACTCAGTTGCAGCCAACTTACCCATTGAAATCAACAAACTTGGCTAACAGAAACTCACTGATTTAATTGGGTCTGCGTTGAGTATAACTTGGTGGGATACGAACTCAACCCTTGCTCGTGTCAGGATTAGAATTGTTTCAGGCTTTGAAAGTGGATTACTAACATTTGGAGTAAATTGATAAAACACTACATAAAACATACTAAGAGGGGATCCTTTATCAGCTGCCAGATAACAAGTACGTAATTTTGGATGACGCTGCCCCATAGTTTTATAGCTGTGAAAAGGAAAATGGTGTAGGGAAATATACACATGCATTAAAAATATAAACAACATACAGAATTTGTTTTTATTTCAGAGTTTAAATGTGATAATAATGATGGAATGGTTAATGGGACTTATTGTATAAATGCATTAAAATTCCTTTTATTTATGTTTAATTTCATTAATACAACAGACTTACACCTTTTAAACTCTACAATCAAATGTGAATGTGTGTCTTGGGGGAAATTTCAAATAAGCTATGTTTGCAGGGTTACTTCATTGTTTGTGCTGGCCTGGCGTGAGTTGGCCTAGGCACGTCTTTCAGGATTTAGCTTTGTCACTGAGCTTTTCTTTTAAGCAGTGTCTTGTGAGTCTTATGCCTCTGACTTTCATCCACTTAGGCTGGCTCTTTTGTTAGAGATCTCAAAAATCCTGCCAGTTCTTAGAAAATGGAAAGAACTATTAACATTTCAAAATTGCATTTGATTGCATGGCTGCAAGTATACTCTGTTTGAACAATACATGACATACTCTACGTGAATAAATAGAAAAATGATTGTTGTTTGGCAAAATTGTACACATTTTTCCTTTAAAAAAAATAGTTGTGGTATTGGAATTTCTTCCTTATAGCATTTTAACACAGGAAATCCGTAAGAGACCAGAGTGAACAATAAACTCAGCCAACTCCCTACTTTCCTGGGCCAAGTTATAATACCAGCAGATAAGATTATCATGTTTTATAGTGCTCCTGTTTTTACAGTCCCACAACTATGGCACTGTATAATAATGTACTTCAGGACCCAGTAGTATCTCCTGATATTGCTGTTTATTGATCCTGGCGAAGGGAGAAGAAATGCCACCAGCGTGTTAAGCAGATGGTTGTACCATGTATGAATACACACACGAGAATGGAAAATCAACAAAGTGTTTTGTGGTATCTATAGACTTAACAAATTTATTATGTAATAGACCAGCACTGCTTCCAACTGGAAATAAATCATAAGTGGTACTACAGACAGCTGCTGCTGTATCTGTACCACCTGGGGGCTCGCCTTGCAAAGGGGTATATTCTGTGGCCCATTCTTTCAGGTTCTATGTATTAACTAGCTCTGACATTTGTTGAGAGTAGCATACGCAGCCAGCCCAGGGAAGGGCAGGTGGCTGTACCATGCAGGCAAGACAGAGTATGCTGATGTGACTGCAGCTCACCTGACACATGGAGAAGGAAGGGTTTTGCATGGCTTGCATGAGGAGCTTGTCTCATATGTGTACCTGATGTAATCTGGCAGACTATGAAGCTAGAACAGGGCATAAGGGTCTTTTGGAAAACAAGCTATAATAGTGATACAGTATAAGAAAATCTGTGTTAGTGTTGTTTAAGACCGTTGAAAAATCTAGCCACAATTTGTATGTCTTAACTTCAGAGAAGGATTTGTTCATCATCGTGTGCACACCCTGGAATCAACACTTGTACTTAAAGCCCTCAAAAAGAGTTGTGCCAATGTAACTGCCCATTTTCTCCTACACTAAGGGACTCTTCAGATATGACCCCCCCCCCCAAAAAATCTACCTGTTGTGAGATTAGAAGTAGATTCCAGACTTATGTGCATAACTTTGTGAAGAATGTTAATGTCATAAGTGAGATAGCTCTCAGGTGAATATCCACTCCCAATCGCACAGCACTTGCACACAATATTTTGTGAAACAAACCACCAGGTCTCTTCCCAATGCACTTTTACATTAGGTACCTAGGTGCAAAATCACTTTTTTTTTCAGACATAGGCATAATCATTACCTCTTATTTTGTGGGTATGAAAACTGTAGGCCATAAATGTGTGTGGTGTATATACCTTTGAATCACTCCCTCTTCCCAATGAATAAGCTGTGAAAAAAGTAGCACATAAATAATTTGTTGACATTATCTTTATTGAAGCATAGAATTTTAGCTCAGTTCACTGTAGAGTGAAACATGTTTAATTCATGATAATAAGACAGTTTAGGGTTGTAGGGTCATTATTATGTTGCTGGTGTAGATACAACATCATAAGATACAAACATGACCCGCAATAGAAACAAACCACAAATAAACACGAAGAAACGTTCACTTTTTACAAATCACTCCATTACTACAGAGACCAAATGGCAGTTACTGTAAGTAAATCATCCACAGAGAATTGCTTTACTTTTGGACACGGAAACAGGAGCTTCTGTTTGGAGAGGGTTGGGTGGGAAAAAGTTTATCCACATCTGCTTAGTAGAAAAGGTTTAAATGTCAAGTATTTTTTTTTGCCCACAAAACAATAACTGACAGACATATCAAAGAGTAAGAATGAAGGACAATGATGTCTTGTACAACAATGTCTGTTATTAACTTTTTGATTAGGCATTTGTTTGCTTTACTCATAGCATCAGACAGTTATGTAGCCCCCAAATCAGCAGCAAATTATTATAACAAGTCAATACAGTGCCAACGTATCAAGTTGAATACAAAGAGAACAAACAATGATAACTTAATCATATAAAATATGATACAGAGCTGAAATACAGTGCATTTAAATACCTATGTGACAAAGTATGTTAAATATTGTACTTAATATTGTCGTTTCTGACATAAAATATGAAAAGTCTTTTGTGCTTAAATGTATGCTTGTTTTGTTTTTTGTTAAAAACAGAACCAGTTGCTTACTTCCAATACTGCCACTGTAACTGGTATTACAACAGATCACAATTTTTCACAGACACATCAACATTAAAAACATTTACCTATGAGAAAATAAGTCACTTCTCATTAGATCACAGTGCGAAAAAAGTGGTGTAATGCTCTGTCTCGATGGAGGCTTTCAAAATATTCATCAATAAAAAAGTCCTGACAAACCAGACGGCAGTGCTAGATTGAAAAGAATGGAAAGCGGCACATCACAGGTTGGGAAAGAAAGGAAATGTCTTGTCCTTCACGGGAATCGCCCAAGTGACCTTCGTCTTCTGTTGTAGAAATGCCTGAGCCCATGTTGCCGTGAAAAATTCATCATGTAATTTTGTTTGCGAGTGCTGTTCAATGGAAAGAGGACGGAAGAGAAGAACTTAAGGTCCCTTTGTATATATGTTGGAAAGACCTTCCCAAGCTGCAGGTTACATTCTTCTACACATCTTGCTTTAAATGATAATTAACATTCATACAAAATTATGTAAAAAACCCAAAACCAATCCAAATTTGAAGCATTTTGGACAGCTGCTGCTACTCATGGCATGGAGTGATCTGGAGCCAGCTAGGCTGCCTTAAGTTCTGTTAGTTTCCAGTTTACTATGTGCTCAAGTCCTGTTGATTTCACTGAGACTTTGGCTGCAATCCTGTACACACTTACCTGGGAATTAATCTCATAGAGTATATAGGATTGTATTAGGCATGCAAAGTTTGGATCATACCCACGGTGTGTAAAGCAGACAAGGGACCCTTATTGTGCTTTCATTACAATTTAGTTTAGGAAGACAGCTTTACATTAATTGAACATTGTCACACAATGTTTCGTTAAGATTCTAGTGCTGTCTTCTTGATTAGTGGTAGGTACATGTGGATAAGTACCCTTGGAGGATAAGCCAAGTTCCTAAAGTGAGCACTAGATACCAGAAATGCAAAGCAGCCTGACTGCTGGAAAATTAAATGTATCATGGATAAAGAACATCATTAAGCAGAGAATTATTTTGCTTTCATTGTGCTAAACTCATAATTGTTCAAGTCCTGAGAAACACAGGCTCGTTAATTTTGGTTTTGCAGCCTTTTGCAGTAATTGGCTTTTGCAGTTATTTTTATTTAAATGGAATCTACTTAGTAGATCTTAGAAACCATAAGATCAGAGCTGGTAGTGTCCACAAAGACTGAAATGCTTCCACACCATTCCCCCCCCCCCCCGCCCTATTTAATTCTGTTGCATAGCACCACCCCTATGAAGCAGATACAAATCGCTAACAGGCATTACTGACCTATATGTAAAAGCTAATGCCCTGGTCTGGTCATGTACCCTTTTGCCTTCTAGATGGTACATAAACACTGCCACATTACTTTCTCCCAAATGAACAAATGACTGATAGTCTATTCTGAAATTGGAAGGGTAAA